TTGAGCTTGTGTGTTGGGAATATAAGGATTCCCTAGCAAAGCTTGCCAGAACTGCACAAATGTGATAAGGCATGATATATATATATATCCACATTATATATATATGTATATACATACATGTTATGTAGACTCTCGACTCTTGATGACCAAAGCCCCTCCATTTGGATTGTGCAACTATTGTATATGGAGTGATATAGTACTTAATTAGTCAAGAGTCTACAGTAGGATAGTGTCATCGGAAGCAGATTCTGCTCAGGACACCAGCCTCATTCACCCGAATGTTCAACCTTCAGATGTGGGACTTCCAAACTCACCCCAAGCACCGACCGACCTAGATCTTCCAGCTATGTCCAAATTTTTCGCCTTGCGCATCCCACTCCTGTATAACAAGCCAGCTTGGGGGCAGATCGACCTCCAAAGGCAGAGCCGACGGATCCAGGTATCACTCGCCCTAAGACTCCAGACACCTCCGAACCCCTACAGTGGTTTCAGAGGTTCGATGCCCCAAGATGTTTTTTTGGATGGGGGTCCATAATATACACCACCAAACTTGGGGGCCCTGGTGCCTTCTGCTCTCAAGCCGACGGAGTCGGGGAGGCTGTTTGCAGTGGGGCCTTCAAAAACGGGCATCCAGTCACATAGCCCCGGAAAAAGAGATGATTCGTGGCGTTTTTCATCCCAGACATTTCCAGACAGCTTCTTCCTTCGCCCCAGTTCACTGGGCCTGGAAGCCAGCACGGTTCCCAACGGACCGGGCGTCATGTGGGCGCGACGCGGCGCGAGGTGTTCTTTCGCGGTGGAAAGGGGAAGGGGAAGGTAGACCTACTAGCGATGGCCTCCTGGATCTTCTAAGTGTGCAAAAAGTTTGCTGAACTTGGTTGGCCTTAGTTGGGCAGAAGTTCTGCACATTTGGAAGGTCCAGGTGCGGCGAATTTCCGGCGTGGTTCACTCACTCCATGCAGCAGGAGACTTAATTTGGGATGGGTGTTTCAAAGTTGTATATAAATCTGTTCGAACATGTTCGAACATGTATAATGTTGATGAAGGGCATATGGATATGTATATAAAGATGACAGTTATAAATCAACAGTCTCCATTATGTACAAGGCATGCCTTCTCATAAGGTCTCTTGTTCCTACATTCTGATGGTTGAAGATGGGGTCAATGTATGTCAATCTATCAATATTGTGGTCCCATCGAGTGTTTGGGATAGAGGCGCGGAAACTGTTTTTGGACACTGCCAACACAAGACGTTTTGCAAGCGCAAGCAAGAGTTGTATTTAAACCAAAGTGCATGGGTGACGGGTCTCCCTACTTAAAATTACTCTAAAAAACTAAACTAAGCCCAGGGGGACCGTGTTGCATCAGATGCCATGGCCGTTTGGCCCTGTTGGTGGAGATTCCTGGCTCAGGTCGAGGAAATCATGGGACTTGACGGGGATGGTTCCAGATTCCAACCCGTGAAACGCGGAAGTTCAGTAACTCGCTGCGTGGCCTCAGAGGATCCAAGAGGAGAACATGAGGGAACGACTTCGCCTGAACCGCGGTGAGTATCCCCACTCCGGGTTGGTCCAACAGGGAGCCGTTCGGAGCTACAGGGAGTTCGACCTGCTAGTCATTTGTGCTGATTTTTCAAGTCAGCGGCAGGGCGGGTTTGGAACATGATGACATCAGCCAATTGGTATGAATTGGTCGGCCATTTGGACGGGCATGTTCAATGCTTGGTGTTTAGACCCCATATGACCCCATTAATCACTTTTGGAGTAGTGAGTAGTGAGATCAGCGTAGCAATTTGCTAAATGTAGTATATTATAAACTGTTTGTCTTGACTGTGTGGACTAATAAACGCCCCTGAGAATGGTTGTACATCTCAAGGGGGGGTCATTCATCAACCTTCCAAATTATAGGCTTTTGTTGTGTTTGTGTGTCGCGTACGCCGACACCGTAGTTTGGAGCAGATGCCCGGATGTTTTTCTTTCTCCGGTGGCCACCTTACTCGGCAAGATAAAGATTGCTCTACCAAAGCCATCCAATGAAGTTTTGCCGTATCAAAGCCATTCACTAGCTATTAAAGTAAATGAAGTTCAATGAGGCTGGACCTGCTGTGGTGCCCTCAATACATGTCACCCTCTATATGACTGGCGCGGCTCGCGAATCTCAGAATCAATTCCCTTCCGTATGACTCAACGGCGTGAGACAACACGAGTATGTTGACCTCGCGCGGCAAAGCGCCACCGTACCTTGGCCCTCGCACACGACCGGCAGGACCCCCAGTACAGGCTGTGGGGCCTCATTCCACCAATCGCACCAGCGTCGGCTGGACGGACATCGTAGCCCCTTGGTGTCGGACAGGGCAGGTTGGACCATCCCTTCGACCATCCATGTATGGAAGAGTTACCTTCATGTAGTAAGCAACTATGGTGGTTTGGATGGTTTGGGCTTGGACGTCCCTTCAACCAGCAGTTCCATGTTGGGGTGCCGAACGAACGGAGGATGGGGGCGCCCCTGTCATGCATTCACTCCGTTGGAACTGGTGTGTTCCATGAGCGCCTCATGCGAACGAACCAGCACCTCCGGCCCGGACGAACCAGCGCCTACGGCCCGCCGAATGCATGACGTAAGTCTTGTGGTTCCGCCCAGGATGTTGACCGGTTCGTCAAAACCCGGTGCCCAGGATGCTCACCGTGATGGTTCTGGGGGTGCCCATTCCTGCGCCCTTCTAGATATGCCGGTTGGTGTAAATGAGTTGCTGCTTACCGCACTCGCCCAGAGGGGCCAGGGTCGCGTCGTCAAAGCGGCAAACATGCTGCGGTCAGACCGATGCCATCCGATGCCCGCAACTCCTGGTGGGTTGACATCCCTTAATAAGAGGAATCTGTTCATGTTCAGCTTGATTAAGAATCCGGACCCTCAAACACATAACTTTTAAACACATAGGGTTTTGAGGGCCCGGACCCCTGCTATGGAGGGTCCGACCCCTGCCATGGAGAGCCCAAGGATTCTTGAGGATCTTGGGGTAGTCTCCTACCTGCACCCCAAGGAGGGTTCGGGTCTTGGAAGGCCTAGCAGGGTCGACAACCCAGACCGGCTTGCTCGGCTATTCGTCTGGCCCAGGTGCGCGAGATGAGCAGCTTGGCAGAGAGCTGAACATCGCGGAAGCGAATCCGCTGGGCTAAAGCTAATTAAAACATGGCCAGCAGTCCCATGAAGTGGTGCTTCACGGAGGAAGTCGGGATGCCTTTTAGTCACTTCCTCTCACTGGCTGGATGGGCTAAAACCATCCCGACATGGAATCTCCTGACATAAGATGGAATAAGTAGATTGCAGAAGATTGGCATACATGTCACATTATGTCACTGTATCTTGGCCAATTGATATTGAACTGAGACACGGTCCTGAAGCTATCCTGCACATTCAACCGCATTGAACGCCAATCAGGACCTCCCACACAACGTGATTGATTACCGACGTTCCTCCTCTAGGCACCAGGTCATGCTTCTTCATTGCCCGCCTACACTCTACCCCACCGAAAACTAACATGGACCCTGAAACCAATGGTCTGTAGAGGAAAAACGGCATTCAGGGTGCCATCCTCAGGGTCCATGTAGTTAGTTTTCGGGAGCGTACACACCAGCAGCACAAAGTGCCGTTCTTTTGGCAGAGGAGAGCCACATTGATGGGAGAACACTGATTGGGGCATTCGGCTTTGAATCAGGGAGTGACAGGCTGGGAATGGATCGGGGTCATCGTATCGGAACAGCTGGAACCCTTGCTACCTGTCCAGGGCTATCGCCGGAGTTTACTCGGATTGCGCAGTAGCCCTGAGAAAATTACTTTGAGTTTGCAGTTGAGGCATCTAACAGTGTTGAGGATGAGGCGCGGACACAAGATAGACATGAGAAACAAGAATGACATGACATGACGGGTGATTAAGAACAGCATATGTTGGCTTGCAGGACAGGCTACCAGAGGTATGACCATAGGATTCTATGACTATGGTAGATGGTGTTTCCCCTAGGGCCAAGGATCTACTAAATACTGGTTGCTATGATCATCAGCACACTGGTTCAGTGGAGAATGTAGGGGCCTTACACAGTTTGGCCCAACTTCGTCACCAACTCCCAGGATCTTGGATGACAGTAGCATCATCCTTGGTCGGTGTTGGCATTTCCAGCCTGGTTGGCCTTTGGCAGTTGCCTGAGGCCACTTGACCTGTCAACTAAGGACGTTACCGCGTTTGTTGGTGTGCCCATTTCTTCTTGGGCTGCACACAGGGTTCGCATTTCGCGCCAGGGGCTTAGCGATATCGTTTTGCAGCTTGGCAGGATGGCCTCCCTTGTGACATCAAATTGAAGTTAACCAATTCTCAGACACTCTATGTACGTAATATTTGACAAACCTTGCTACACGAACCCGAAACCACTCCAATGTCAGTAAATACCTGGATCTTGGAAATTGCACCAATAATTGCGGTTCTGAAAAAGGTCCGTTAATTGCGGTGTTTGTTCTCGAAACGTTCAAAAAATGTATCTTTTTTTGGGGGGGGGTTGTGACAAGGCAAAACCGGCAACTTGGTAGGGAGGTGAGAGACCAAGAAGGTACCGGCGCTTAAGAAGGTGTCCAAACGGCGTTTTTCCCCGTCCATGGATCTCAAGCCATATTTGCAAAGCTAGTTTTTGTTTTAGCTATGCCGTATTTCACTGGAAAATGCCTCCAGCTCAAATTTGGGCTGTTTGAAGATCCAGGTGTGCAATACATGGAGTGCATGGAAATTGATAGGTGCATGTTTTGTTTCTAGCTGTCATCGCCATTTCTCGCAAGGGATTGTAGATTCAACAGATGGTTGACATGTTTTTAGTTTACTGCATGTGGTTGAGTTACGTTGTGCGCTCATGTGGATTTGCCACCATTTTCGGCTCTTTTGCAAGATTTGCAGCAGAAAATACAAGTTCCCACCCATGCGTCCCAAGCACACATATTGAAAACCATCCATCTTGGCATTCAACAGCCGTCTGGGAAAAACCAATGGCGGCCCTCTCGGCAATGGTGCGCTGCCTTTGGCTTGGCATTTTGCTCAGGGGAGCAGATGCATACACTGCGCGTAAGCCAAGCATCGCAGGGAAGAGCGTTTATTTCCTGGTCACCGACCGCTTTGCCCGTAGTGGAGCCAACAAGGACCGAGCAGAGAGAAATAGGGAGACCCTCAGTAGTTGGAACGGACACGCCCAAACTGAGTGTGCATCCAGCCTAGACACTCCGGTATAAGTTTCAATATTAAGCTTACATGCTGTGCTTTTATACAGTATACACGACCCCTCAGACCGATCCAACGTCGACCAACTGCGCCATACGGGGAGTGTGCATGTGAAGCGTCCCGCCACCAACATGGAAACTGCCAGTCGGAGCTGGACTAGAAGATCACAGACCCATAAACCTGCCCAGCGAGTGGACCACCTGAATATAACCTTTTGGAGAGAGCCAGATGTCCTCCGATTCCTCCACTAACATCCAGGACTACAAACTGAACATTGCTGTTTCAGGGTGACTGAGGGGGTCAGTATACTGGGGGTGGTCTTTCAAAGTGGGATTTTTGCCGTTCTTGTGCGTGAGAAGACTGGGGCCTGTGGGGCCTGTGTTCCATTCGTGGCGATTTGCCCAGGAGAATTACACGTATTGCGATTTGGCGACCAGTGCCGACCCGCTTCAGCCGGGTGGAGGAGCTTGGTGCAATGGCACCTTGCAAGGAGTCATTGATCCTTGGGGGGCATTGATCTCATCGCTGCGTGCGGTCCCCCATTGGACGACGGCCAAGGGCCCCAAAAGTCATGTGCCACTCAGAGGGTCGCCAGAGCTCTCAGATATATTCAGAAACCAGGGTTGAGTTGGAGGCCATCGCTACTATATTAGGGTGGAGGCCATCGCTTCTAGGTTGAAGGCCATAGCAAGTGAACCACGTTTCCTGAGGGGCAAAGCCTGCTCCCCATGTGCTCAGCTCTTCGCCTTTCTCGGTCGCCTGCTTTCCACGTCCAGTCGATGGTCTCAGGATCAGCTGGACTATATCCAGGCTGGGAAGTCGGGAACGGGGATGGGTTTAGTGGATGGGCTTGCCCAAAAGTCGGCAAAAGATTATCACGTACTATCACGATTGAGAAAAGCCTGCAAGCCATGACAAGCCATCATCCATTGTTCCTGGTCATGGGACATACCCAAGGTCTCATGATGTTCTTTCTGCGCAAGGTCCGACTGGACCCCGCAAGAGCCCCCACAAAGTCTTGGGAGTCACGGAAGCCCTCCGCAATTCCGGTTTTGGAGGGCATGTGGTTCGTCACCCAAGCCGCGCTTTGGTGCGACCCAGGTGTTCGGACCCCTTCCTTGGAAGGCGTCTGGAACGTCCAGTGAGCAGTGACCAGTCTATTCAGGGGGCGAGATTGAAAGGGGGTCCCCCCCATGAAAAAGACACACCTACCAGCAGTCACAAGACGGGGTGCCGAGCTTGGAGAATACGGGTATACATTATCCACTCACTGGATGGGACTAAAAGCCCCTTTGTGACTTCTGGTACATCAAACTTCTAAATTCATCCACCTCCAGCGGCCTGTGAACTCCTCCAGCTGCCCCCAAGACTTGAACGGGACTCTCCGGGCCCTGTTCCAGGGAAGGGCCAGGCCCCTCAGGGAGGCTGAAGAAGAACACCAATAATGTAATGCTCCCAAAGATGTTTGGAACGGACTACCAAAACATGGGGAACGAAAATAACACAGTCATCAATCAGTCTGACTCCCTGGAACGGGTCGGAATCATTCTGGTTAATGGATGGCACTTGCTTTGGGCTTCGGACTTCTCATCCGAGCTCACTCAGGGCGCCATCGCTTCACGCCACTGTCCGTTCACTCCCGGCATCCAGGGCATGGCCTTCGATTGTGTTTGGATCACGCCCGTGGTGAAGGCCTTAGATTACACAGGCGCCTTGGCTGTTCCACCAGCTTAAAGACCCGCCCTGTTGCTGGTCTTTGTTTTTGTTTTTTTTTTTCCACGGTGACTGTGAGTGAGCATTGACGCAACGTTTGGCTGTGTGGCAGCTATGGCGAATGTGAATGCCATGTGCCACGCTGTGGGGGGAGGACAGGAGGCGAGGGAGTGGAAGGTAAATGAAGGCGGACTGTTGTGCCAGAAGCCCAGGTTTCTTCAAAGGTTTGAGCAATGTTGAGTTTTGGATGTCCAACTTGTCAACTTGTCCCGCTTCAGTCTCAAGAACAATCTTTGCCAAGGTCAACGATTGTGCACTGTATATAATAGGTTTAGCCAGGTGCATGAAGGTCTGTGGCCAGCTAAGGCTATTTTGGAGAGGACTTTTTTGACACTTGGACAGCATGTCTATGCTGGATTCCTTGAGCAGGATTTGGGTAATGTACAATCGTTTTATATGTATCCTACATTGTTTCACACGCTCATATTGTAAGGTGTTGGGTGCATGATCGTGTGTTAAAAAGTGTGGTGCCTCTCCAATTCAGCTGCGGTGATTTGAGCCAGTGGCTGTCCTTCCACAATTGTGCAGACAAATAGTGCTGCTGTCAGACAGAACCACCACAATCGCCGCCACCGATGGTTATGGCTACTTCTACTCGCGGTTCTAGTGCAGGTCTTGCTTACTGAGAAGTGCCTCCACATTTGTTGTCACACCGGCAATGTTTGACCTAATATGATGTGGATCCCTAGGTTGGCTTAGCCAGCTAGTGTTTAGTTTTTTTTGGAAAGGATGCTTGGGCTATGATGCATTCATGTCGTGCATTCATGTGTGATGTGTATGTAAATTTATATATAATATATATATATATATATTATACAATGACTATTTATATATGTACAGTCAATTTTTGCCGAGTCATTGTCAAACTCCTGGATGTTTGATAGCTTTGTGCCAGATTTTGTTGACCAACTGAGCATGAACGGATTCTCGTACAACGGATTTTCGCATGCCCCCCGATGTTCGCACACCCCCGATGTACGCCCAGGATGTGGATCCTCACATTGGGAGCAAGGAGACCTTGAAGGAACTCTCCAGGCAGCTCCACGCGCGAGACATGTGCTTGATCATTGACATTGTGGCGAACCATGTGCGGCAGATGACCGTCCAGCCAGACTATTCTCCTGGAGCCATTAAGACCTATATCGGCCCCAAAGGGATTAACCCTTTTGACAAAGATGAGCCTCAGCTGTACAGACACGGGTGGGAACTTGACCTTGATTGTCCAAGGAAACTGAGGGAGTCAGAGGGACAAGGATGTGGACAAAATCTAATTCTCCCAGCTGGTCCTTTGATAGAAGGTCACTGCAAGCCGTGCATCGACCAATGCATGCGTAAACTTCATGTTGCCATTGCTCCGCTACTGCCGTGTTCCATGCAGGCAGCAACACCCCACCAATCAAGACACGCCGAGTTACTCGGATCCTGGACACTCCGTGGACGGAATCATGTGCCTTTTTCTACACTTAGGGGTGCCTTTTTTCAAGGAGTCCGTGGTTGTTCAATGCATCGTGATCTACCTGGAAATCCGCCCCCTCTTCCCCTCAAATATACCAGTTCCCTGTTAATGAAAGCGCCGCCCAACTGGGGGCGCCTTTTGAAAACCCGCCTGGCCTCCAGTTGTACCTTCGTTTCGTTTCGGTGGGACTGGGGTGGGTGCCAAAACGCCAGGTCCAGTCATACCTACCTCTAGGCATCCAGTCGTACGTCAGGTCAGGTGATGTGTTCGACACTGAGACTGCCCAGCCAGTCGGGTCCAGGAAGGTGAAACCGGGTCTCACCGCACCCGTTCCGCCGGACCTGGTGCTTTCGGTGATGGTGACCGTGTGCGCACCGTCGTACGGTTGGGGGGCTGAAATCAAGAAACCAGGTTGGGAAGCTCCTAGGCCCTTAAGCATCCCTTCTTTGGCCCTAGACGCAACAGATTCCTTTTTCATATATATGTTGATGTGTTTGACTTTCCCCATTGCTTGTGCACCAAGTGCATCGACGTGTTTTGCAAGGATGGAGTGATGTCTCTCTCTCTCTCTCTCTCTCCATGTCGAGGGTTCTGGAAGCTGAGCTCAAGAGAACAACACTTGCATATACTTGCATGTAGTTTAACACTAGTTAGTAGCATTCCATTGTTCAACCAGTCATCAATGAACTCCAGTCACCTTCCCAACTTTCTCTTTGGAGTGCTATGCTCCTAGTAGCGATGCCAGGAGCCGCTAGTAGCTTCTTGTTCCTAGTACCGTAGCGGAGCCCCAGAAGCTGCAGAGGGAGAGGGCGTCACCGGCGTGTGAGCCGAGGAGTACTTCCACACCTATGGCAAGGCCGCGGGCACGTCCTTCGAAGCATATGTCATGGCGGGCGTGGCGCAGGCCTCTCAAAGTCAGGGCAGCGATGCCGTCCTCACGGAGCGAGTACATGAGGGCATCACCGAGTCTTGGCGCGTTTGAGGTGGACGCCGTGAGCCGGTGCCGGTGCCGAGAAGACGTTTGGAGCATGAGGCCCAGCTCGAGCTACTCCACTGCCACATGGAACCACCAATTGGTCCAAACCACTAGTGTTTGTAGAGGTTTGAGGTCCATGCGTAAGTGTATGTATTTTGTGCGATGTGATGTTTGTCTTCCTGGTGAGACTGCGTGAGTTGCGGCTGAGCTGTCGACCCGACCGGAGGAGGAAGCTGTCTTTATTGCGGATCTTCTTATTACAACCCCTCAGAAGCCCTCCACTTTTCTGTTTGATCAAAACTTTCATACTAATTGTTTCATCGCCAAGATTCTGGCAGGACATTCATCGCCAGAATTTGGGTGTCTTTTGCGAAACTAGGTGCCCCCATTGTCCCGTTTACACCTGGGAGATCCGCAGTTGGAAGAGCTAAGTGGGCGAAAAGAAATGCCACTGCCTGGGTGAGGGACCTGCTGTGGGAGCTGCCCAGGAAAAGTGGACCACCTTTAAAATCCAATCTTTTTGGATCGATGTCTCCACAGTCTCATCCAACCGGTGGCAAGGTGGACCTTTTCTGAGGTGTCGAGGGTCGACACTCCAAGTGCTCCAAGGATTGTGGACCTGAAAACATGAACCTCACCGAGTGCAACTGCTTTCCGGGCAACTTCGCCCCCGACTGTCCGGGGGCCAATGAAGAGTTGCAGGTGCAAGGCAGCTTGGAGGAAGAACACAGACTGAATACTCAGTTCACTTTGTGCCTTCATAATGATGAATATGGATTGTTTGGACCTGTGAGTGTTTGTTTGGTACTGCTGTACCATTTTTTGTGGTCATGTTGATTAACTAGCTAGCTTTTAGGCCTGAAGAAGGTGCATCCTTAAACATTAGAAAGTCATGCTCTCCATCACAGAAGGCAAGGATGCCACAGTCAGCGGATATTGGACCAGGTTGCACAGGAGAGTTTAGCTTTAGCTAGAGATGTGCAACATCCATGACACGGCCTGGAAGAGACTGCCGTGCTTGAGTGACAGACCAAGGACCAACAATCCATGGGGTGGAATATACCTACACTGACCCGTTTAAGACGTGTGTTAAAAATGAAAACTCATGCAGCGCAGCGCAGGCAAACGTTCGTAATTATTCCAGTCCCATGGATTGGGTGGTGAGCTAGTCGTGGTTCGGGACTCATGTACATCAATATGCCCGTGAGTCACGCGTGGCTCAATTCCCTTGAGGGCTATTTGATAGGATGAGGGTTCTGCCAGCGCCGTCTCTTGCGCCTTCTTCACCACATTGAGAAGAAAACAGTAGAGCATAGTAGAGTCCTCCGAGTCCTCCGTGGCAAGGGCCAAGAACATGGTCCTCAGCACGACCCAAAGGATGGCCTATAGACACACCACAAGATTGGACATAGCCGACAAGACTTCCCTACACATGAGGAGGTGAGCTCCTCAGGTTCGGTATGACTGGACCCGACACTGGTGCCCGCCCAGTCCCACCTTCGAAACGAAGGTACGACTGGAGGCCTAGGGAATAGCATTCCTACAAGCAAACCTCGAAGAACACCTAGAGGGTTAAGAAAGCGTTGCTTTTTTTTGCATTGTTCATTCTGGTGGCGGGATTCAGTGGGCAAATCAGTGGAACCCAGCACGGGTATGTGGATGGCACCACCTGTTTGTAGAAGGAAATGGTCATCCAAGGGGCCATGCCATCCACTTCCATTATTTCATAGAGCGCAAATCGCTACTTTTAATGGATCGTATTGAAACCTTAAAACGTGGCTTTTGCCAATGTGATGAGAGCGTTTGCCTGGCCGCGGAAGATGCCCAGGTTGGTTTGGGCAACTGGCGGATTTGAATCAGGATCACCCTTTCGTTCGCCAGAAGCTCTTGGACTATGTGAAGTACCTGGTAGAGGAATATGACGCAGATGCTTTTCGCCTGGACACCGCCATCTACATGAAGAAGGCCACACGGTTGGCCTCAGATGGTTTTTGGGCCGAACACGCCGTGCTCGAACGACCTACCTAGGAATAGTAGACCACCTGGACCACCTGTTTTTTTTGGGGGGGGGGTGGTTTCTCCACTGACCATCCAACACTCGGAGAGGAGACTCGTCCAACCCCTTTATGTTCGGCAAGCGGTTCGGGAGTCGTCGACCCAGATGTTGGCCTCCGCCGCTCTTTATTTCTATTATTTCTGAGGCCCTGATATCGCACCGTTCGTTGATCAAGTCATGATTCGCATGCGTCCTTTGTGACGTTTGTAGCGTGTTTTCTTGTTCCGTTCGTAGGAGCGTTCGTAGGTCGCCCCGTAACGATCGTGTCGCTCTGGCTCTCGCTCCGTAACGAACGCCTTGTGGACATCGTTCGTTGAGATCCGGGGCCTAAAGAAGCTGGGCACCGCGCTTTGGTCGTTCGAACAGGCACAGCTTTGGACATGTTTGGACTCCCAGACAATCATGGGACTGGTGACCGGCATCATCAGGCATATATGTAATATATATACCTGAATCTTCCTAGGGCTGCACTTTTTGCGCCTCCAATCTAGAAGGCGCCTCTAGGAACTGAGAGGCAATTTTTTTTGCAAGAGGCGATTCTTGTGTTACATAGATTTCTCCCCAGTTATGTTGATAGAACATATGATAACCGTGATAACAATGAAACTTATACACTTAACATATAGGAAAAACACCACAAACCCCGAACCATGAACCAAAACATAAGTTATATGCATTCAAAAGGTTCAAGCATGATAAACCGTGAAACACATGAAGGCATGATAACTCACTGTGGAAAAGTGAGCGCACACAACATGAAACTATATATAGATATATATGAACTGCTAATTTTCCACTTGGAGTTGCCTGCGAAAAATGACCCCCACAAGTCAGGCTTTCCCCTTCAACACCTGCATTTCAGGCAGGTCGAACCGGACTTGTGGGGGTCTTTTTTGCAAGGAAAATTGCAAATATGAACATGATATCGCGCAATTTGATAAACACACATGAAAACATGAAACACATGAAAACCACATGAAAAACCTGAAATACATGAAAACACATGAAACATATGAATGCCACATTAAAAACATGAAAGCACGGGAGAGCCACATGAAAAAAATAACACATGAAAACATATGAAAAAAAAAACACAATACACGAAAACACACATTAAAGCACATGAAAAACATGCAACATAAGCAAAACCATGAAACACGTGAAACAACGAGAGGCGGAACTTCCCGGGTAAGAGGCGGAACTTCCCGGGTAAGAGGCGGAATTCCCGGGTTATGAATTTTTGGCATAGTATTTAATTAAGTCGACAGGTTGCCGCTTTCAGGCCCGTCTCTACTCGACAGGGGAAGTGGCGTATCAGCTTCCATCCCGTGTCTTTTCGAGTTCGACCCTGATGGCTGGTTTGACGTTAGTGAAAGAAGAGAAAGATGTGGACAAACTTGATGGTGACGATGCAACCCTGATGTCAGAGCTGCAACAACCGCAGGTGGGGCTGTTCGTTTCTATAGGTATTGATACTCACCTCTAGTCAGTGTTTTGGTCTGAACATTTCCTGGCTAAACATGTTAGCTTTGTTTTCTGCCGGTTGCAGGCGCTCAGGTTGCAAATCCAGCAACTGCCTACTCCTATGAACTCTGCCTTGAAAGACCTCCAAACGCCAAACACCTCGGAGAGTTACGTCTTGCCTGATGATGAAACTCAAACGGCTGGTTTGGGCTTGGACGCAGTTGCTAGCAAGCATGATGAACGTCTGTTTGCTTGGGTTTGACCGATAATCTTTTATCATGTTGATATCATGTTGATAGCTGTCGGCAGCAGCAGCGGAAGACCACCAAAAACATTACACATGACAAGATTCCCTTCTACCAGAAAAGCACGAGAGGCAGTTTTTGTTCTAAGCGGCAACTCTTGAATGGAGAGGCTAACATTTGAGCCTCTCTGCTAAGAGGCTGAGAAAAGCAACCACCGGAGGTTTAAGGTATATATCACCTACATTGACCCTGGATCAACCACCCGCATATATTATAGGAGTGTCCGGACCGACAGAAGCATATAGACCATATGATGTGTTTCTGTCACCCTTGTGTGAAAGAACTTGTTTTCCGAGCTCTTCTTGTTCAGGACTTCCTGAAGGATTTACAGGAGGCGGCAGGCGTGGATATTCTAGGAGAGACCACCGTGAATAACATCAGCTACTTGGTGTGAACTTGGGCATTGGTTTTGGGGCACATTTGTGTCAAGAAGCTGTTGCCGCAGCAGCCACAATTACGGAGTGTTCTTGTTTTGGATGCATTGGTGGACAATCAGCATGTAAATTTGACTATAAGCCCGCTTTGACTACATAAACCCTGGGATCCAAGTACCTGCTCAGAAGGTGTTTGGGGTGGGTTTGGAGGGTCCAGGTGCCTTCTGAGGTTCGGTGCGACTGGATCCCTTGGTGAGATGGACCATTTAGATCCGTCATAGGGTTCTCAGCCTCAGTCGCCTCAGATGGAACACCAAGCCATGACCTGCACATCCGAGTTCGCACCTGAAAGCTGGGACGACATCACCATGAAATGGACAGAGATACATATATATACCTGGAGCCTATACAGTGACCCCTGTTTTGGAGGATCAACGATCCAAGATATGGGCTGTTCCTATCAAAACAGAGGTCAGTCAGGCTCTAGGTATATCATAACTTGACATACTCCATGGCCCCTTTGGGTGGTTAGTGGACGCCCCGAATCACCCTCGAAGGAGCTACTCATAGACACCTGTTGGGGGTCCTGGCTTAGGTATACATATATAGTTCGCCTTGAACACTTGGGGTTCTAGCAATGCTCAAAGCCTGCCTAGCACTTGTTCCCAGTGGAGTGAACAGAATAAACTGGCAAAACACCAGAATGTTGTACCCGTTGGGTTCGTTCTGGGCACCTAAGCAGCACATCTCGCTGTCCAAGCTTCTGAAACTGTGCCAATAAACCCAAACACCTCTGACCAGCACCACCCAAAGGATGTTTCATGGCTGGCGGTCAGAGGGTCCTTGTTTATGCACCCGAACTGGCGTGGTGCTGGCTGTTTGTTTTTTCTTGTTTGGATTCCAGTTGCGTGCTTGGTTTCTTTGAGCAAGCACGCTTGGTTTCTGTCCCGCGCAGTGAGGTTACAGCGCGTTTTTGGTTGGACCAAATTTGTTGTGGCCTCAACCTAGAAGCGATATAATATACTTTTCTTCATGTTCCTTTAAAGATTGCCTCCAACCTAAGAGCGATGGCCTCCATCCTAAGAGCAATGGCCTCCAACCTAATTTGGCTTTTTGGATCTTTTGCTCAGACACCTGAGGTTACCACGCGAGTTTCCAGAAAGCTGGATTGTCGGGGCTCTTGAACTTTCCAGCCTTCTACCAGGTGCACGGAAGCTTTTGCCAATACCATTTGGGAGGTGACCTGGGCAACTATCACTTGTAACTTGGTGGTCTTGGTGTTTTGAATTTGCAAAGTGCGGAAGCCGCACAAAAAAGGGACATTCTTGATAGTATGGACAGCAGTCAGCTCTTTGATTGCAATTTGATCTCGAAGCAGGTGTTTGTTTGGGCCAAACAAACCCTAAAATATTAGAAACACAGGCCGTGGGCCAATCAGAGCTGAGACTGTAGATGACAACAGTCATTTTCATTGGGCCTTCTCCATACACTCTCTATCGTCACTCGATCAGGCAGAAAGCAACGTACTGTTATAGAAGGGTGCAACTTCTTGCAGTGAGTGAAAGAATCCTAGACACTTCCATGGGACTGGCATATATGCCCTACACTTGGGTGGTTCCACCACGTCAATGCAGGTCGATCTTCCAGTCCCATCGGTCGTGTTTGGGATAGTCCAACCAGTCGCTTGTCAGGTCTTGGCCGAAGCCTGTTCAGTGGCCTGCAAGCAAGGCCATTCCGGGCCCCCCCTGAACAGATGGTCCCTGCGAATCATCGAAAACCCCGTTGGCATCCGCAGGGTTGACGCTACCACCCACTTTCTCAGACCAGTCCTCGGCCCACGCTTCCAAGCCCATTCCGCTTCCGGTTCTCACCTCCACAACCTCCAGCCCACAGCCCGCCTCTCGCCCGCCTCTCGCCGCTCCGAGGCAGGGAGCCTTCACACCGGCGCTGCCGGACTTGCGGAAGTTGGCCTCCGTGATGCAATTTCAAAACCCCGAGGTGAGAAGCATGGAGCGCCCCGCAGCCCGATGGCCGCTGTTCTCGAGCTTGCTTGAGCGAGCGGTGATGGTGACCGTCGTTGAGGGTCAAAAGAGGTCCAAACATAGAGGGAAGCCGGGGAAGCCAACAGAATCAGTGGGGTGTCGCTTTGGCACAGCACGGAGAATACGGACTAGTCCTGTGACACGTCCGCGACTTACCTTTGGCAGGTCTACCCGAACTTAGACTTGTTGGGGAACTTTGCAGACAATCACGATGAGTTCGCTCGGATTGGCACCTTGGAATGGCCGAATGAAGAGTTCATTGCCTTTGGTGGTGAGTAACACCACTGTTTTATGTTTTTTTTCTCTCCGAGGACCTTGTATGCAGTAGGCTATGGGAAAACCACGAGATTGTGAAACCACCCTTAAAGTTAGGAGGCATTCTACTGCTCTATTCGTGTTTTTGCTTCTAGGCTACTACTGTGATGCCGACTCCTATCGCATCAAGAACGCCCTAGCGCTCATGATGTTTGCCCGGGGCATTCCTATTGTCTACTATGGCACCGAGCAGGGCTTGGACGGGCATCAGGCCAATGTGCTGGAGAAGGACGCCATGCGAAAGCAAGGAGTGGAAGACAAGGGTCAAGCCTTTGTGAGGGAATCTCTGTGGCAGACCCGGTACAACACCTCCACCTGGAAGCTTGGCGAGAGATTCTTTTCAACGTTGCCTTCTTATTTTCTAAACCATTGGAGAAAAAGCTAGCTTTCCCTTGGGTTTGTGTTCGCATCCCCTCCTGGCGAACATGTTTTATGGACCAACGAAACAGATTCCAAACAGTACTAAAGAGACGAGCCAAGGCAATATCAGTACATCAAGATGCTCAATGAGAAGCGAAAGGAGTTGGGTTTGGCCAAGGGCGACATCGATGCCGAACTTGTGTCCGCTTCGAACAATCACCTCATTTTCATTCGCAATCACCCACAAGGACGGGGGAACCAACAGGGAGGAACATGGGAAGGAACAGAACCATCCATCAGTGCGGCCAGCTAAAGCATGGTCCACATGCATGACTTTCCAACTGAATTTCTGCCATTGGACCGGGTTGTATGGATCAGAAGATGTCAACAGTTGGAAAATCCAATAAAGACTGTTCTTCATCACTTCAAAGACCTGGACCCCTCCAATGCACTGAAATGAATTTGGATGAATTTATATCAGGCTTGTTTGTTTAACTAAGGTGCAATCTAAATGAATCTAATGCATAGAGCTATCATGAGCATTCCTTTTGGCTCGACGACTTCGGCAAAGCTAAGCAGTTGCTTCACTTAAGCTCATCAACATCGGAGGAAGCGATTTGTCTTTTTAGGCATTCACGTCTCCAAGCACGGAGAGCTACCCGAAGCTGCTGGAAATGATAAATAGACTAAGATCATATACTGCCTGGAACTAATGTGTGGATGGAAGTGGAAAACCAATGAAAACCCCTTTGTTTGTAGAGGATAATGGTCTTCCAAGGGTCATTGTCCACGGTCTTCCATGTGAGTTCCATGGAGTCCACCGGTGCCGGACCTAGCGTCCCAAGTCGTGTAGGACAGGGTTGTCCGGTTGGAAGCAGCTGTTCGTATCGTAAAAGCAAAGGATCCTTTCATTCTCCGCTCGGGCAGGTGAAATTTGGGTGTTCATCAACAACAACCAGAACTGGACTGGCCAATCTCCATTCCTCTATTGCCCAGCGCCCAGCGAACACGAGGCCGGCATCACATAAAGACAAGAACGCCGATTCAGGTGGAAGAATCAGTTGTCTCAGCATGCAAGTACAAAGCATTTGACCACACACCTCCAAACTATGAAACCAACATATGCAGCATGTGGATTAGTTTTGCTGTTGTTTTTGCTTTGGCTCAGTTGTGACAGAGACTATGTTTTTTTGGTGCCTGTTCGTTTCCCTGGCCAAACGCAGGCCTGGTATGATGTCTTTTCCGAAGAGCGTGCCTACTTGCGCCACCTGGCAACCGAGGGCGCCCACTTTTCAGATGATTGAAGCTTCACTCCCCCCCGCCAACCAAATATTGAAGTGGATTCGGAAAATGGTGTTTCCAGGGATCATGACTGTCCACTTCATGATTGCTTCAGGGAGTGCAACCAGTCTAATCCTCACGACGCGCTTGTGTAACTTGCTTGGGGTGTTGATCCTGCAGCGTCTAATCCTCGGCAAGTGAGTTGCGCAGACCATCCATATATACTTATATAAATACTTGCATCATCACATGCATTACTGTGCCACATGTTCTCCTGCTTCATGCCAGCCCAGAAGGCAGATACATGTTGCATAGTTGGAAGATCCAGGTATAACATGGGCTAAGTATAGAAAAGATTTTCATTTACCCCTGGGCCCTATTTATGATCCTACATAAGTATGTGTGTGTGCATGTCTTTGTATATATACATATCCACGCATATGTACATACTATATCTGATAACAATCTTCCACATATGGTTTGAGTCTGAGTAATCACTGAGTTTTGGAGGCAAAGGCTGCTTCATGGCCGACAACGCCGAGCCCAAAGTGCTGGTCCGCCGCGTGCGGATGCCGGCGGTCTATGCCGTGGAGCGCATCAGCGAGCAGGTTTGGATCCTGTCGCCTGGCGCGGAAGCCCGCGCGGTTCCAACGAGAATCCGACACAGAACCGCGGGTTCCAGTCTAGGATCTTGAATTCATAAAGCTCCCAACATGGAACATCTCTTGGGGGGGCGTTGAAATCAAGATCCATTCTTCATTCTGTTTTGGTTGGGATGCGACCTCGGATTTCATCACCTCTTCGCCCCGGTCCCTCGGGTTTGGGGCCCAAAGCACAGGTGTTGTTCCAGCCGGATCCACCGGGTCCTTCTCTTCGTTTCACCGGCCCAAGCGGGGAGGAGTGGATCACCTGCAAGAGTTGGTTTGGTTTGGACGTTGGGCACGTGCTGAAGAGGTGGAACGCATGGTTGGGGTTGAGGTTCTTTCTTCATACATGAAACAAGAGAAACATTTTAAAAAAACAAAAACCTACTGACTTCATATTGACTTCATACAAGAATCTGAGGGGAGAACATTGTTGGCTCTTGATTTCTCAGCAGTAAGGTCCTGGCCTAAGGAGTCCGGACCTTCTTAACCTCCGTCCTCCGTGCGGTGCTGAAGGGACTGGCGGGGTGCTGAACGGGTTTGGAAGGGTTTGTCCCTACATGTCCCTACCTTCTGAAAGTGGTTGGAGGTCTGACAAGGGGTCTGATGGTGGCACCTGACCAGCGACGCCTTGGTTTGAGTTGGGACCCCGGAGATGGACACCAACCAACCGATGATCATCCCTGACCCGATGGATCCACAATGATCCAATTACTAGGACCCACAAGGGGTGGTTCATGGACACCCCTGAACCTCTAAGGGGCTATCAATGGACACGCCTTAGGTGTCCTGGTATATATAATGAGGTGATTGGAGACTCTTTCATGCACACGCCCTTTGTCTCAATCGGCCATGCATGGCCCCGAAAGGAAGACTCATTTTCATCTACCAAGAGAGGGCCCTTGTCCACTTCGATGCTTGGGAGGGAGGGTCCCTCCCCTTCCAGGGTCCAGTCCAGGGGTCCCAGTCCGACCCTTAAGAAGGTGAGACCAGTGGGATTGACCTGTTTCACGTAAACCGAGCAGACCTGAGCAACCGAAATCGAGGTGGGTCTTCATTTTTCTACTCGTTGCGTCCAACGTCCTCCTCTTGGCCTACGCGTGTCGACATCGTCTCAACTTCAGCCGCTTCAAAGTCCTAGCGGAGGATGACGACACATCAGACAGTGACAAGTGCTAGCAGGACACGGAGCGGTCAACTCAACCAAAATGCCTGGGTCCGCCAGAGGCATGGTATACTATGACGCAGGTCAGTGTCGGAGATTTCCGTACTGGAAAGCTCGACTTACATGATTCGAGAACGGAACATGGGAAGCACATGGAAGATCATGGAAGTACTACCGACTATTGCAAAAATAAACAACTAACTAATCCGGTTCATCCATTCATGAATCCACCAATAAGTGCCAGACATAACATCCCAAAAAGAGGCTTTCGTTCTCATTTGTGCAGACAACGATTGTTTCATAAGCTTCACTCTGTAGAAGCTGGGCGGACTCTCGTTGCTCGCGTTATCACTTATAGCCCTGCCTTGCGGCCAAAAAAGACCGATGGACTTGATACAGCGTGGGCTGGAACCAGTCCCAGACTTTCCATGGGACTGCAAGAAAATATATTATATCATACCTACCTTGACTCGTAACATATCTTAAAACCTCTTAAAGCTACCCATCCAAGTAGGCAAATATATCTATAGAGGGATGGTTTTGGAGTTCATAGGGGGTTCGGGCTTCATGAAGACTCCTTCATGCACAGACTGGCATTGGCCAGACAAGCCAGACTGTGACTCATACATGCGCACACCTTCTGCCAGACCATGCCTTATATCATACAAATCACCTATATAGGTGTTTTTTCGTTCCACTTACGGTATTTTTGGTGCATGTGCAACCAGAAGAATATACCCTGTATACAAACCACCAGCGGGAGCGTTTCACACCTACGGTTCATGGAACGGCTTGCGGTTTGATTGGCAAGTCCTGCCACGTCCTGCTGTCTAGTCACCCAGGCTGGATTTGGGCATCATCAACCCCCGGGGTGCCTCCAATAACACCTTCATCGAGGCGATTCCAGGACGTTGGGGCCGCTCAGAAGCTTCACGTCACGCGTCGCCAAACATGTGGCGATGAAGCTTTGTTCCAATTCGATGGCAAAGATTTTTCACTTTCTCATGTGTGTGTGTGTGCCAACCCCTGTTCCAAAGGGTGCTACTTGATAAACAGGGGGACGGGACACCTCTGGCATTTCCCGTCCAACGAAGAGGATGCCAGCAGGTGCTGATGCAGTGGGGGACGCCCCACTGTGTACCTGTTCCATGAACTGTTGCTTACGCTGTCCAATCTTTCCTTTTTGGTTCCATGGTGGTTCATGCTACTTCCCCTAAACCCTTTCCTTTGCCGCTCGCGCGCGCTGCCGTCGCACCACTGCAGATGAGAAACTTCAATGTTAAAACACCTTCAAGTCTTTGGACCTTTCACCATGCCGTTCCATCGCCTTCCTTCTCATCGTGGGAATTGAGTAAACAGCAAACCAATGTCAGAGTGTGAGCCGCTCAGCCGTCCCACTTGGGTGCTGGGTGTGCTCCTCCGCAAGGAGGCGCCGTTTTCATGCCGGAAATCATTGTTTCCATTTTTATAATTTGATTTCTCTTTCTCCACTTGTATAACTGAATTTACTGATCCAACAGCCGTCGGGCTTAAAAACGAATTTGACAGCCGCCGGGCTTAAAAACGGCATTCACCCCCCACTTGAGGCAGGTCTCCCGACCCCCCCACTGTGTTCTACTCCCTACCTAATTTGGGTAACATAGGGAAATGGTACTCGACACACTTGTGTGTCGGTGCCTTTCCCTCTGTTGTCCCTTTTCTAGTCTACCCTACCCGGGCGGTTTAAGACTAAAGTCCCGCTCCCTAACTATTGCACTTAATTCCTTTCCGCTAAGTAGTCAGTAACTCTAGAGGGCTAAGTATTCAAACACACACATGTACACACACACATGGGCGCACACCCCCACCCTGCCCCCCGCTTTCCTTCTTGCGCTTTTCGTCGTTTGTTGGGCTTTCTTTCAGGCTTTTTAGGTGGTTCTTGAGGCTCGTTTCCCTACCCCAGTCAAGGGCTAAGTATTCATTTTTCATTTTTCTACACCTATCGTTCTCTCTTGCCCTCTTAGTGCTGCTCTTTCTGTCTTTCTTTCTTTTGTTTCTAAGGCTTTTTAGGTATCTATTCAGGTTTCTCACGCGAGCGCCGCAAAGCGGCGCCGTGTGTGTGTGTGTCAAACCCTGTTCCAAAGGGTGCTACTTGATAAACAGGGGGACGGGACACCTCTGGCATTTCCCGTCCAACGAAGAGGATGCCAGCAGGTGCTGATGCAGTGGGGGACGCCCCACTGTGTACCTGTTCCATGAACTGTTGCTTACGCTGTCCAATCTTTCCTTTTTGGTTCCATGGTGGTTCATGCTACTTCCCCTAAACCCTTTCCTTTGCCGCTCGCGCGCGCTGCCGTCGCACCACTGCAGATGAGAAACTTCAATGTTAAAACACCTTCAAGTCTTTGGACCTTTCACCATGCCGTTCCATCGCCTTCCTTCTCATCGTGGGAATTGAGTAAACAGCAAACCAATGTCAGAGTGTGTGTCACACCCTGTCCCAAAGGGTTTTTTCTTTCAGCATCAAGGGGGGCAAGGCCTCCAGCTCATTATCTAAGTGTGTGCTCCCGCTTTCTGGCTTGGGGTTGTGATGAAGATCGTTTCATCCACCCAAATCCAGGTGCTGGACACGTCTGAGGCCCCTTCTCGCTGGTGGTCTCCGCAGCCGAAGGCTCCACCTTGTCTCCGGATGACCGGATTAGGCGCGGACAGATTAGTCTCCGGAGTCGGACGGTCTGCACGATCAGCACATGAAAGGCGAGAAGAGAAGCATGTTTGATGTTCTATCGTCATTTACTCTTTGCTTTGCAAGGGGAAGCAGATCAGATGGTATAGCCCTACCCTAGCCTACCCTAGACATTATCAAATATATATATATACCCGCGATATATATATATATATACATTATATATCTATGGTTTGTGTCACGGGAGGTTTGCAACAGGTATCAACAAGTTCTGTCCTGGCATTTCACTGTTGAATTCTTGGCCTTCTTGCAATTGCATGTGGAAGTGCAACAGCCCTGATGCATATGCTACAGCACCCGCAAAACTGCGCGAAAGCGTCGTCTATTCTTATACAGATCTTTCACAGAAGGGGGTTGCGTTTTGCGGTAAGTTGGCTCACTGGACGAAATCAATCATCAGCACTGCACAGGGTAGGCTATATTTATATATAGGGGTTTTCTGCAACAAGCCATGTGAAGAGCAACAAGCGAACTGGATGTTTGAACAAGCCGAGTGGATCCGCTCTCTTTGATACAGTGTTTGTGTTCTTTTTGTCCCGACTCTTTCTGCACAACACCGGCCGCTCAGTCATTTTGGCATGTTCCTTTTGTTGTCACTGAATAGACGAGCTCCATGACGTGCTCTTCCACAGGATTGTGCATGCTTCAGTGTGGGCGACCTCAGTGTGTGAGTTCCCTTTTCTCGGTGTCGTGTGGCACGGTGAAAAGGTGGTTTTCCCGTCGGCGTTCCAATGAAGGATCCCGAATGACCATGATTCCTTCAAACAACGCAGCGGCATGTTCCCCCCACTTCGGTGAGCCTTCGTTCATCTGGGGGCCGACAAGCCACTGTATCCAGTGGCTAACAAACTGTTCAACTGACCGACCCGGGAATCTTGGAACAACTATAGTGTCAATTTCCCCATGAATCTCATGAATCTTGAGCCTCATTTGCTGCTCTACTTCGCCGCCTCCAGTGGGCGATTGGCGCTGCTCCAATCGGTGTTGGGCCCAGGTCTGGTGGGCAATGCGGTGCCTTTGGCACTTCTGTCAGTGGCCTCAGACCAGACCAGAGGACCTGCAAACTTCCGAGACCCAGACATGACCATCGTGAACTTCCAAGTCTGCCTGCACTCGGGGTGGTGTGCAATCTCAAATAGGGGTCACTGAGGTTGGAGAGGGGTCTAGTTGAGGCGGGAAGGACCAACTGAATTGAACCACGAAGCATGGAGTTCCGAACCGCAGGCGGCCGTTCGATGGTCTGGATGTGGGAGTTGTTGGCATGGTTTCCATGGCAAGGTGTTTGCTATTTTGGCATCCACCCGTAAGCCGAAAGCACTCAGACCAAATCAGTGAATCAGCCCATGTTTTGGATGTTTGACATGCAAACTCGGACGCGCAACTTTTTTTTCATCCAGTGAAGCATATTTTGAGTCATTTATCACGCCTGTTTCTGTGAACTTTCTCAACCACTCAGGATGACACTAAACCCGAACTTCAAACTCGATGGGTCACCGAAGTTCCATTTGTTGCAACCAAGGCAAAGTCCACTCAGTTGTGTTCCGTGTGTTCGTGATGTTAATTATTAAAATAAATCACAGCGCAACCGCACACGGGGCCACACTAAATCTCCGGACCCGGTTGACCCAACAAGCTACTACTGCTGCTGCTGCTGCCACTACCACACTTGCCATGCCATCACACAAAGTCAATCGGGTCAACTGGGTTCAACTGGGTCAACTGGGACCACAGATTTACCGCCCCCCTGTGCCGACGCATTCATCAATCATCGGAATCATGTTTTCAGGCATCATATTCAACACCGGGATGAGGCTGTAGCATGCTGTAGCTGGACATTGCCATCACCCATATCTCATTGGCACTTGAGGCCACCATAGGCCACCTCCAATCGAGCGCCACCAGCCATCCACCGCCAGTGGCTACCCATCCCCGCTGCTCCTCCGGCGCCCTGCGCACTCCAATCGCTCGGAGGAACACTCCACCGCCGTGAGCTCCATTGCTTGCTGGCCCACTTGTGTGGACTCTCCCATCTCTGGGGTGCGGGCAACCGATGGGATTGGATGGATGGCTCAGTGAGATGGTCATGTTGAGACAGGAGTCGATCCATGTCGATCCTTTTCTGTTTCAGTTCAGAATGTTGTTGCATCTTCGCATCCACATCTATAATACCATGCTAGTAGTCATGCTATTATATATATATATACTTACTATCATATATACTATGCCGTACAGAGTGGGACGGGTTCAAATCTCAAAGTTGCCGCTCAGTAACAGCAAGCGCATTTGGCATGATCACTCCCTATGGATCCACATACCAAGAAGGTGATTGTAGCCTAGAGCCTAGAGATTGCACATCTTTGAGATGTCAGACCTTGGATTCCCTCCCTGGCCGGATGGCACGGCCGCGCCCTTTTCAGAAGCGAACACCGCTGTC